TTCACGTCCCTACTTTTACGATTTTCAAATGTTTTAAAGGGGGGAATACATGTTATAATAGTATATTGTTAATTTCACAATTATCGCTAACTATATATAGTATTAGTGATTTAATTATACCTAAAAATGTTAGGATGATATTATGTCTGGTAGATACCCTGCCAAACTTTTAAGGATAATATTATGCCTAGTCGTTATACTAACCAACTTTTAGGGATAACCTCGTACCTAGTCGTTATCCTGGCCAACTTTTGATACAACATCATACCTAGTCATTATGTTGGCCAACTTTATAGGAAAAACATAATACCTAGTCGTTACCTTGGCCAACTTTTAGGATAACATTGTACTTAGTAGTTACTATGCCCGAATATCCTACTAGAATAAACTATACTATCATAATTATATATATATATATATATATATATATATATATATATATATATGAATATATATAATAAGTATAACTAACGTAACAAGAGAAAGCAAAGTACATGATACGACTACACAAAACAGTTGATAAATGAGACGTTATTCATCCTTTAGCTAAATAACCTTTAGCTAACCCCGACCTATAATCGTTAAATCTTACGTGAGCGGGAGATGTATGTATAGATCTATATAGGGATGATACCCTCACATGTGGTTGCTAGCTACAACCTTAACGGTCGAGTCACAACATGCATAACTTTCTAAACTTTGGCGACGTCTGATGAAGCGTCGTCTCGGGGAGTTCAATAGTCATAAGCTCAATTATAAGAACTGATTGTAACATTGTTCAACCTTAACTAATAAATCTACTTATGAAGGGGATGTCTCAGAGTAGTAACATCACAAGTATCCCAAACGAGAAAAGAATGTTAGGGAGATATGATCCTAGTAACTATAGTATAGGTAAGATTCCGAATATCATACAAGTACCTATGGGATACAATAAGGATTTCACAAAATGAGAAATCACTTATACCCAACTAAAACCCAGGAATATGGATACATAGGAAAAAAGGATCACTATATTCATAAACAAAGATCCTGCTTAAAAACTGCTAAGTATTTTCTATAATCAAAAATTTGTGGACTCACCAACATTATGTTGACTTTTTAAAACCACATGTATTCCAAGGAAACCAAGAGACGGCAATCCACACTCCATGAAGCAACAATTGATTGAGGTAGCCACTGAAAGTTGTTATCATTTATTATTATGCCTAGTTGTCAAGGCACCTTTTGTATTAGAGATTCTAGTGAAAACATACCGTGGTGTAAATTTTAAATACATAATGGTAGTGATATTTATGCTACATATTGTTTTGTACTATTCAATGTATGTTAAATGTCAGTGATCAACATTCTAATTCAATTTCTGTGATCAACAATCTAATGTCGCACATCCCGACAATTCCGCCGCTGGTCGGGGGTATGACAGATTTGTACATAAAAACACTTAATCGATTATTGGTGTGAGAATATGAGTGTGAGAGTAGTTTGAACGTGATAGAGAGGATGGATGAAACGTTGACACAAAGTGGAAAATAATAGGAAGTAGTCACCGACACGGTGAGCATGAGGAGTCACTGTCGCTGACGAGGTGAGCTTGAGGTCGCCGACGATGTAATCAAGAGTGAAGCGCTTGTGTGGAATGATTGCAAAAAAAGCCCTAGTTGGTCACGATTTGGTGATGAGGACGATGAACGCGCGATTACCTAAAAAATCATAAGACGAAGGCTCTACATGACACACGTATTTGATGGGGTACTCTGTGTTTTTTTTTCATGTGGACAATAACTTTATGACACACAAATATGCATGTGGTAAATTCTTCAAATTATGGAAGAGATGATAATTGTTTACGACACACGATTTTGTGTGTCATAAACACAGTGTGTGTCATAGTTCCCAAGTCATTAAATGCCCTATTCATGAATTTCAATTTATACTTTCAATAAATATATAGTTGATATAGTAAATGTAAAAGATAATGTTATTAAAAGTAAAATCTATAAATATACCATAAGTTTAAGGTCGCAATTTGTAAGGGTCAAAATATAAATATCTTAAAGAATGGTTATTTTGTGGTGCGGCCAAAGAATCCAAACTATTTTTACAATTAAGTTTTAAAGATAGGCAGATCCAAGATGAAAATAAATCGAGGTCTGCCCTAAAGTTAACAATAGTATCCCTTATGACATTGGTGGTTGTTTATATATAAATTGGTGGCATGTCGTTGGAAGAGAACAACAAAGTCAGAAAATTTCAAAAGTTAGAAAAGAGAGTAAAAAATCAGAAAATTTCAAGTAATAGAAAAAAAGTCATAATAATAATAATAATAATAATAATAATAATAATGAAATTTTAGAAGAGTATGCCAAGATTTAACCATGTGGATAAATCTCTAGATTTTTTCTAATTCATAAGGATGTAGAGTCTATCCCTTTCAAGTTATTTGTCATCTCACTATCACATATTCTCACTTAGAACGAAGGGTATGAGAGGGATTGTTTCCCTCATTTTTTGTGGGTCATACCACAATTTCCTTCATTTTTCTTTCCCTCACCTAAAACCCAAGGAATAGGTGGGAAGCTCCCCTCATTATTATTTTTTTATTTTTTTATAAAATATATTTCATACATATATTATACTCATTTTGTAGGGAATTAAAAACCATAAATTTTGATAAATTTTTTATATTTTTTTAGTAGGTATATAATTTTATAAATATTAAAAAAGATAAAAAAAAAGGAAAAAAAAACTATCCAATAGCATGAAAAGAGAGAGTGCGGCACCCCCTCCCCCCACCTCTTTCCCGCGGGTTGCTTCCCTCACCTAAGGGATGGTGTTCCAGAGTGAGGGAAACTTCACTCACCCATTTCCCGCTATGATACCGTCCGGCCTTACAACTCTCATCATACAATATATGAAAACACATCTTTTACATCTCTCCAACCCATGCATTTTTTTTTTTTTTGATTTTTTACATTAAATATTTATTAATTAAAAATTAAAAAAGAATTAGAAAATGTTGGAATGGAAATAGAGATTGTTGGAAAAGAATTGGAGTGAGTTGGTGGTTATGGATGTTTTTTATTTATATAGTTCAATTAATAATTATTAATTTTTTGGAAAAAGTAGTCACGATAATAAAGAAAAAGAGATTTCAAGTGGTTTAGGTAACCTCATTTTCTTCCAACGGGCTATTTATATATATATTAATTACCAAAATTGGTAAGTGTGAGGATTTACTATTCATAAGCAGATTTCATACTTTTAATTTTTTTTTCATTTTCCACCCTTTACTTTTATTTGTTTTTATATTTTGTACCCCTAAACTAATTTTAAGAGTAAATTACTGAAATCGTCCCTGTGGTTTGGTCAAAATTGCACGTTTGGTCCCTAACTTTTTTTTTGCACTCGGATCGTCCCTGTGGTTTGATTTTGTTGCGTTTTTCGTCCCTGTGGTTTGATTTTGTTGCATTTTTCGTCCCTTACATACATAAAGTTAGGGACCAAACATGCAATTTTTACCAAACCATAGGGACGAAAAACGCAACAAAATCAAACCACATGGACGATCCGAGTGCAAAAAAAATTAGGGACCAAACGTGCAATTTGACCAAACCACAGGGACGATTTCAGTAATTTACTCTAATTTTTATGTAACAATTTTTTATCCTCAATTTTTATTTGTTTCCACCATTTACTTTATTTGTTTTTATATTTTGTACCCCTAAACTAATTTTGATGTAACAATTTTTATCCTTATAATTTTAAAATTTATATATATTTATATTCTTCCCCCTTAATAATTTTTATTAATAGTTTTCAACCCTTATAATTTTAAAGTTAATTTATTAGTTTTATACATTATAATTTGGTCACTTACTAATTTTAAAGTTACATTTGGCCCCTTATATAATTTTTAATAATCTTTTTTTTATTAATTTCTTAAATATACACTTTCAAGTCAATTGTTTGTATCATGTTTTATTTTGAATTTTGTGTTCCATTTATATGATTTAATCGTCTTCGTTGTATATATGGTGTCAAACTGCGTTTTTTTAACATATCGGAGCTCCGCAGCAACGCGCGGATGATCCAAACCCTAGTTTAATATTTAAATATCAACGACTTTGTCTCCTAAGGTGGGGACCCGCTTATAAGTGGGCTCCATGCACCCAATTACTTCTATATTACATTGTTACTGTTTCAAACTACCTTTATTTTCTTTAAAAAAAAATCTCAAACACATGAAGATGTTAATCGCGGAACACTACCAATCTTTGGAGCATGCTACTGTTTGAATCATGAATATCCTGTGGAATTTCATTCATTAGGATAGCAGGGCCTATGATCGGGCTCTAAGGTATAGAGCCCATGGCGGTGTTTGTTATTTTTTTCCGTCAAACCAACATATGTAACTTATCCGGCTAAAACCAACCGTAGTTAATTGTTATATTACTTATAGTTATATATATACTTGTATTTATAGATATTTGGTCTTGCCGAAGGTCATTATTTCTAGTACAATTTTCTGTGACATCTTTCTCTCAGGAAAACATATAACAAAACATACAGAGAGTAAAATTTGAAATATGGAAAATCTGATTTTGTGTATAAGATCGAAATTATAAATTTCGAAAACCATAAATACACCATCCCAAAAAAACATCTCCGATTTTCAATAATATTCAGGACATCGGTTTTTCTCTATACATACGACATTGTCTAGTTGAGGTTGTCGAAATTAATTGTTGGGGTTTTAGAAGAGCATAAAATATTCGTGTTTTGTGAAATATCTATAAAATTCGTTTTAAAAATATCTAATTTTGCTTTTACTTATCTTTATTCCATGATATAACGACATCCATAATGTTGTACCTTAGTTTCGTCATCTTATGGTACAATGGAATTGAACTTTACATTCCTAGACTCACTTTTCATCTGTTACATAATGATTCTTCAAGATATCATTTGTGAGTTGTAGCCCTAAAAAGATAGAAAAAATGGGTTCCTCTGAAAGTACAGGAAGGTTAAATGGGACTCGGAGAAATGAGGATGAGCGTCGACAAGAATCCACCGGAGCCGGGACAATCGCAATAGCTATAGCGGCAGGGGTTGATGTAGTGTGGGCTGGGACAACCCCAATAGCTATAGCTGCTGGGGTTGCTGCAGCGTGGGGCATTTCTACAATGCTTTTCAACAACACAGACACAGATACAAATATAGATACAGACTCAGACACAGACACAGACACGGATGCCGAAGAAAAATATGAGGAGAGTAGAAAGAGGAGGATCAGCACTCATGGAATTGAACCTTCCTTGCCTAATCTACGCATCCGTACATACTACACCGAAGAGGCGTCTAATAGACGGGATCAGCAGCACTCAGAGGGTAAGTCAACCAAAAAAATTATATGGTTCCCTCCTCCTCCAGGTGTCTTCAAAATGAACACCGACGGTGGATTTCGTCCCACCGAAGACCTCCTTGAAAATGATGCTGTCAAACGACCGAGTGCGTACGCAGGAATCCTCCGAAATGATCGTGGCGAATGCATTCAAGCTTTTCGTCAGTTTTATGGTGTAACCGATAGTCTCGAAGCTGAGATCGCTGGAATTCTTAAAGGGCTTGGAGCTTTTGGTTGAACGTGGTTTGAAAGGAGCTATCCTTGAAAGCGACAGCGATCAAGCTGTCTTTTGGATCAACGAAGTGAACAAATCATATCAAATTCCAAAAGATAGGATGGCCCATTGCAAGGGCATGATCGACAAGTGCAGGAAACTCTGTCGCAAAAACAGTATAACTATCAATAATATTGATCGACGTGCCAACAAATGTGCTGATGCTCTGGCTTCCTTAGCTTTAGGGGAACGATATCAGGATGTCCAAACCGATATTCCTTATAAAGTAAAGAAGCTTGTTAATGATGATAAAACAGCATACAGTTCATGGTTGAGATCAGATGGTTAGACCTTATCTTTGCCGCTGCTAGCTACTGATGAGTTATGGCACCAATCTCTTGTTTACTGTGTGTACTACTAATAAGTACTTCTGTTTGATGTTGTACTTGTTTCATGTATGTTTAATTTGCTGTTTCTTTTGGCAATGGGTTTGTTAAAGTAGAAAAAAAAAATGTTTTCTAAAGTATTATAATACGAAGTATAAATTACATGTATTCTTTTATAAAAGATAAACTCTGCTTTATAAAAAGAGAACACTTTAACTCATGTATCTTTCACCTCAGTTTAAACATTTACTTTAAATAAAAAAGTGGTCAAAATATATTTTCGAAAAGTAAAAGAATAAAGCAAGAAAATAATTGCTTTATGCTAGTGGCGTTTAATTCAATTTTGGAAATGCGTAATGCCAATATAAATAAATAAAGAGTAGGATGCTATAATGCACAAACAAGTGAAAGGACATTGCATTTACGTCCTCACATGAAACGAGATCTCTGGAATCACCATCTTTCATAAATATAGAGACCTGTAGAAAAGATTATAAAAATTAAGTGTAGAGATGTTCAAACATGTGGAGTTTCATCTAAACCTTTGTATAGTGTTACTGTTGTTAAAAAATATGTACTTTACTCTTGTTAAGAATATCAACAACGTACTTTATCTTTTAGCTGTAATAGCAATACATCTTTATTTATTTATCCATAATAGCAACATACTTACACTGTCTTATTGATAAAAGCAACGTACTTACATTTTCTTTACAACTATCCACGAATGACCATATGAAGTATCCCATCAAGTTCACACCGTTACTGTAAGTACTACATAACAAGACCACCATGTCATGAACCTGTAAGAAATTCAATGTCCATTTCATTTTAATATTTATAAAAATATATTAACTTGACTTGTTGTTGCTCCAATCTAATGGCTTCAAGATGTTCTTTAATGTAATTAAGTAGTGGGATTCTTTTGCACGATGTGGCAGTTTATTAATATAATATTTTTTACTAAATAAATTAATAAAAAAAATGTTTGTATTAACCAAATAATTAAAAAACCTTAATTTTGTGACAAAAACTAATGTGTGAAACAATTTTTTTTAAAAAGATAAAAACAAAGACGAGAAAATGGAAAATCTTATAAACCATATATAAAATTGAAGATGTAAAAAAGTTATAAATAAATACTAATTAAATTTTTTTTACAAAATGAATTCATCAAAAACAAAATTATAAAAAATATACATAGAAAAAAAAAAGTTGTAAAACTAATTTCTAAATAAGTTAAAATACAGACAAACCTTCCGTATTGTATCAGGGGTGTATTAGATTAGAGATATAATAGAGTACACTTGTTTAACCATACTATATCCTCATACTATCTATGTACTCTATAACCATTTATAATCTCATATGCTACATTTTTGTATTAAAACTAACAATATTTTATCCCCAAAAATACTCTATAACAAAATATTAACACCAAACTTATCACAATGAAAGACAAAATATACAGAAGTACAAACATGGCACGCTAAATAAAAAATGAGTTGTTATTCTAGTAAAAAGAGTACTCTCCATTAATTCTTCCATAAGGTCATCTTGGTATTCTACCATTTGAGTTGTTGCACTCCTTTGAGCATGAAGGGAAAATACACTAGCCTGAAATAATAAAATAACATTAATGTATGAATAATAATAATAATAATAATAATAATAATAATAATAATAATAATAAAGATAGATAATAGCAATTTGTCTAGTTACCGTCTGCAAGACAAGTTCATATTATATAGGCATGTGTTTGCATTCATTTCTATCATCTCAACTTTGAGCTCTTCATGTTTCACCTGCTAATTACCCAAATAAATGTTACAAGGAGCCATAACATTATAAGTGTCATTTTACTTACCTATATATTCTGAACCATACTAAAACATATTTTTCATGCCATCTCCCTTCACCTTTTAATCTATATCAAGAAAGTTAATTGAATGTATCAAACAAAAAATTATTCTAAATAAAAACCATAAAGAGAAAACAGTTTTAAAATAGATCATTACAAAAGGAAAGAGTTGTCAAAACTCATATGATATATATATAGTCAACATACCTTTAGTAGCTAATTTCGTCTGGAGTGGGTATATTTCCTTTGTGTGCGAATAGATAAGAAGAATAAAGAGAAAAAAATGATAATGTTAGAAACATATGTTCCTTATTACAAATATATTGGTAAAAGGCTTAAAGCAACATTTTCAAGAATTATTGAAAGATAATATTTGGTGATCCATGGCCCATTTATCACAGTCTTTGATTCCTCTGCTTCAACCATCTAGACAAAGAAAAAAATGAAAACTATGAAACCCCTTTAAAATTCAATATCTTTAATTGGTTTGTGTATAGAATGTTAATGTTCAAAAATTCTAAAAACAATGTCAAACAGGTTCCCTTTAACTAATACTTAATGATAAATTAACTTTGATGTAGGATACATCACACACCATTTAATAATACTTGGTGAGTCCAGAGAAGCCGTATCTCAAATAAGTTACAACAATTCATCTAGGCTTCTTTCATTCCCGTATTATAATATAACACTGTATTAAAAAATCTAAACATGACAATATATGTAGAGAAATGTCATAAAGATGTAGATATATGGATACAAAGAATCTTCACATGTTGAAACTAGTTCCCATCTAATCTAAGATTTGTTAAAAAAAAGAATTGTGAGAATTTACAAGTAAGGTTAACATTATAGAGGCAATTGCTCCAGATATTTGTAAAAATTAAGAAATCAAAGGAAAAACCTGTTCACAAACTAAACCAATCAATAAACATGTCGTTGGGGAATTTCCTCGAACACTTGGTGCTCGTCTGAAAAGCAAATGTAATAGTGAATGTACAACCTTTCAATCACAGCTAAGGAAACCATAATTTCGTCACAAAATCAATTAACAAAACAAGTTGAGATACAGACACCAAACCACACGATGAAATAAGACAAGTTGAGATCGAGAGTCTCTTAAAACCTAGTTTAGTTTAGGGACAAATCATCTCAATTCATGGAAAAATAGATAGATGACGGAAAAATTGCAAAAAATAATTTCTAGAAGGATGAGATTGTAAAATAGAGAGCAAAAGACTTACAAATGTTGGAGGCTCTGGAATTCTTCATTATAAAATTAGCAAGAAAATTGTGAAGAACAAGAACTTATTCATCAGCAAACAGAAATGGAAATTTATAGGATTGGTGTCCTTTGAATCTCGTCAATGGATTTTCAAGATCAAAGAAGAAATTCATTAGAATTTTCAAAACCATTGCAGAAGCTTAATTAGATTTGGTTTCTGAAGTGAGTATACCAAAGTCGATGCAGTCATTTTCGGAGGAAACTGTGAAGGGCGGTGGTGGTGGCATGAAAAATGATCGGGAACACTGTGGTGGTGGTGGTGATGCAGATTGCGGAAGCATACATATGGAACTAATGTAATCGATGTAGACTTCCATGGTTTCCCCAGTTTATCCTTGAGGGGTGATCTTTAGCTTTGTTTGATTTGACCATCATGTCATCGATGTAAAGTGTCCCCCAGTTTATCCTTTAACATCCGGTTAACTAGCCTTTGGTATCCTGCACTTATATTTTTAAGACCGAAGGACATAGCAGTATATCATGGAATCTAGCCTTTGGTATGCTGCACCTATATTTTTAAGACCAAAGGACAGTATATCATGGAATCTATATGTGGCAGGAGAAAAGCATCCTTAGGGCAAGCCTTGTTTAGATCCGTATAGTTCACACATACTCTCCATTTGTCATTCTTATTTTGTACGACGACCACGTTGGCAACCACCTTGGGAACTTGACCTCCTTGACCATCCTTGTTTTAAGAAGTTTTTTTACTTCTTCTTGGATGATCTGATTTCTTTTGAGGTGCAAACTTTCTTCTTTTTTGGTGTATTGGTCTGAAAGAAGGATCAATGTTAAGTTTATGGGTTATAATATTTTGTCTATACCTGTCATCCTCATGCTTCCAGAAGAATGTTTTGCTTTTATATTTTAGGAACTTTATTAGTTCTTGCTTGATTTGTTCTGGTATTGAGGATCCTATGAGGACTTTGGCTTCAGGATCCTCGAGGTTTAGGGGCACTTCCTTTACATCCTTCTCACTTGTTTCTAGCACACCTCGTGCCCCCTGCTTTAATTTCTATGCTTGTCGTTGTTAATGGGTTTTAGTATACTACAACATCCTATGGTGCACATACAACCCTAAATGCTTTGAATCTATGTTTTCTCTAACTATACATGCAATATTGTTTCCAAAGCATTAAGCTTACAACTAGCATACAATAGACATAAACTACATAAAAGTGAGTTATAGAATTACCTCTTTGTTGTAGCTTGTAGTTTTGGCCTTTAAGAACTTAGTTCCCCAAGTGTTGCACCTCAAATGAAATCACAACACACCTTTGGATAAAGGATGACTTTTGAGAGAATATTCTTGCAACCAAAAATCGGCTCATGGAACTCCAAGGATCACTAGTGTGTCGTTTTGGATGCTAAGGGGCTTTTTATATAGTGTGGAAAGATTAGGGTTACATCATGTAAACCCTAATGCCCATGACCTTTCATATTACCTAGGATCCATGGGTTAAACCTCCATGGACTACCATATTGGTTTAGCCCATCCTAAATAACAATTGGCCCATACTATAAGAATCATTGATTTACCAAATCAATCCCCATAGATTTAATTAGTCTCTTTTTGATCACAAAATTAATTCCAAATTAATTCTTGATCAATACTAATTAAATCATATGATTTCATGTTAATATATTAGAACTTACAATATATTAACAAATCATAAATAACATATTCTCAAAAGTCCATCCTATCAAATTGTCCTGGTGATATGCAACCCAAATGGACTATGCTACTCTCGGGTCAAGTACATACCAATTATGGTTATGGGCTTAGACACCTAATCCAACAGTCTCCCACTTGGATAAGTCTAATAACTATTATTGCAAGTACGACTCCACAACCCGACTAGCAATCGTAGCTCTTAAAAGCCGTTGTCGAACTCTGACCTTGTCAATGACGCGTCCATTAGATAAGGGATCATATATTCCTCCATTCTAGATATCATATGGACTGAGACATGGATTTTAATCATTCCCTCTGTCCATCTGTTGTTTCCCGATTTCTGATTTATGAAGACTGACTAATTGAACAAATCAAATCAGTCCAGGCTTGGCCAAGCACTTCGGGTGTCATCACTAAATCATCGAGGGGCCCACAGATATCGCTTTTATCCACATGGGGTAAAAGGAATGGATAAACTTCGACTCAAATGCTTGCTTGAACTTACTCATCAAATTACACACAACAATATGTTTTATAACACCAAGTTACTGGTGCGTTTACATGTAACATCCCGTTTTAGATAGAATAATTAAAATAATAAACCCGGGACCCCGAGAAGTAATTTTATTATTGTTTTATGTTATTATAGCCCAAAATCGAATAATAATTAGTGGGGTGTTGGTTTCGGGAAGCCAAATGACGAGATTTGAATCTATGGGGTTAAAGTGGAAGTTCTGGATTTAATTTGAAAAGATTTTGGAAGTCATGGGTGTGTTTGGTAATTAGTGGACTTAAATTGAAAGGAATTGAAGGCTTAGGGGGCTGATTGGTAATTTCAGGACTTGAATTGTAAGGATTTTCTGAAGGAGGGGTTAAATGGTAAGTATTGGATTTATTTTGAAAGAAGTATGGGAAGGAGGGGCCATTTTGGTCATTATGAGATACATTCATATGGGGCGGGGTATTTAACTGTGCTACTCCCGTCACCTACTAACCCTAACCCTAAACACGTCCAGCCGCCACCACCTTATACCCCATTCGTCTCCGTCGCCGTCATCACCCAAACTCTACCTTGTTCCAATCAGCGGCGGCCTCAAGCGACCACAGGAAGGTCACCTTCTTCTCTTTCTCTTTCTCCAGTTGCTTTGTCGAGATCAATCGCCACCGGTAGCGCCGCTGTGTCGCCATCATGTCACTCGTTCCCGTTCGTCGTTGGAGAACCACCAGACGGGAGTTGTGTCGCCGTTCTGCCATCAAAACGCCACTGGGATGCGTCGTCGCCCTTCCCATCGTGGCAGATGGACCAAGAACCGAAACAAGCCGCCGCTGCCATCAGTCGTCGTTGCTTCTGTCATGGCTGATGGGGAAGATCGGCAGTGGGACGTCGAAAGTGAGGAGGGGCTGACCATTGCCACCGTAAGCTGATGCTGATGCCGGTTGTTTCGCTCACCGCCATCGCCGCCCACCACAGGAGGATGTGGGTTCGTTTTTCGAGTAAGATGCAAGTGTAAGGCCCTTTGGCTTTTGGTGCTAGTCGTGTGTGGTGTACTGCCTGGCCGGAGTTCACGAAAAAAAGCCGCTTGTATGTGTGTGTGTGTGTGTAATTAGTGTGTGTGTTATTTTTATGTGAGTGTGTGTGTTGAGTATTGTTGTAAGTTGTAATAGCGTGGGAATAATGAAAGAAAAGTCTAAACCACCACCGTAGGGTGGTGGCTGCCGCCACCGGCCGCCGTGCCTGGTGGCGGTGTGCTTACCTTGTTGTGTTTGACTCATTTGGGGGATGCTTGGTCAAAATGGGCCCAATCAGGCCCAAAGTGACCTAAAAGCCCAACCAATGGACTAATGGGCTAGTATTGGGTTGGAAAACCCTAATTAGGGTTTGGAAAACCCTAATGGTATAAAACCCTAATTTGTGGGAATTGATCGGGACACACACGGGAATTATTTAATAAACTTAAAATATTAATTAATGATCAATTGCAAATTAACCTAAAGCAATATTGGACTTAATGGATTAAGTCCTTAGTGGATTAAGTCCTTAATGGGTTAAGTAGGAACACTTAACCCTAATCGTCATTCATGTGAAAACCCTAATTTCACATGGGCCTTGAGTTGGGCATTCCTTGGGCTTTGGCGATTGGACTATTATTGGGCTATCCAAGAACAAGTTAATGGACCAAAATAATTAGATGAGCTTTAGGATAAAGCCCATGTGAGGACTTGGGGCCAATTTGGAAAATTGGGCCATATGTTGGGCTTTGGCCCATTATTTGACTTTTGGGCTTTTGTAGTGTGAGTTGGACCTTGGGCTTAGAACCCAATTATTAATTGGGTATTGTTTGATGTTGACAGTTCAGGAATCTGTCAACTAGCAGTTGGAGTTTTATCTGCGAGACTTCAACCGTGCCAGGTGAGGTATCCTCACTATACTAAGGGGTCTAAGGCACCAAGGTCGGCCCATTGGATTTGATATCCTAGTAGTTATTGATATGTTGAGTGGGATGGGTTGAGGTTGTACTGCTCCGTGCGGTAGCCAACAAACCCTAGAGTATTCCAGATATGAGCTGAGGGTCGGGCAAGGCATGTCAGACTCATACTGAGGACTCGGGAGTATTCCGGATATGAGCTGAGGGTGGGGCAAGGCATGCCAGACTCATACTGAGGACTCGGGAGCATTCCAGATACGAGCTGAGGGCCGGGTAGGGCATGCCAGACTCATACTGTGGGCTCGGTGGCAATCCAGATGTGAGTTGTGGGCCCGGAAGGCAATCCAGACTCACATTGTGGGCCCAGGGGTAATCCAGTCTATAAAGTTGTGGACCCATTGCATGTTGTTCAGTTTGTTATGTTATGATATTGCTGATATTGTTATGTGGACTGTATGTGTATCGGTATTTTGGGGGTAACTCACTAAGCTTTGTGCTTACGGTTTCAGTTTATTGTTTCAGGTGCTTCAGATGACTTGGCAAGGCGAAGGCGTTACCGTACACATCCTCGTGATTTGGACTTATGGTTTCTGGGATACTCTGATACTAAACTATTTTGAAAACACTTTGTAATAACTAATGGCTTTTGGATGTTTGAAAAAGTTTTAAATTGGCTTGATTTTTATGGGTGTTACATTACATATGTCAATGCGCAACCGACTTGCAACTACAACTCACATGTCTCCGTTTCAAGAATATAAGATATTATCGTCTCACAATCACTCGTGATAAAATCCATGAAGTGATCCAGATGAGCGTGGGTTGAATCCAATACTCGAATCTTATTCCAGTAGTACTCATGAACACTGCAGCAAACTTGTGCTATGCCTAAACGCCTTTAGACAAATCTACAGACCCATTCATGACAGTCTTGCCTCAATACCTACTTCCAAAGTATGATCGACTGTGGATGGTTTGAATAACCTAGTTATTCGGGAAGTTAAAACATGCAAAGTAAAACACAAGAATAATACTAATCCTATATGGCCCCAAAACTTTTGAGTGCCATATTGATTACTCATTATTCATTGCATAATGTTTCGATTTATCAACTTAATACTTGAATTAAAACAATAGTTATGTCATGCTCCAAGCATGCACACTATGTTTGTCTATGGTC